CGTAACGGGCGGGAGGGGGGGCGCGTGAGGGAGGGGCGGCCATGTTGGCTCCGCTGAGTTGCGAGGCGTGAAAAGTTTGGTAAAAAGATAAAGTGTAAAAACACGAAATGTGTAACGTGGAAACTGGATTGTTAAATTGTAATGGAATCACGTAATAAGACTCAGGCTCAGTCACAAAATCGAGGCTGAACGAAGGAAACGCTGTGGCCCAAAGTAGAACTTGAATCCAGAATCCCAGAATGTCTATGTTGGAAGAGAACCTCAAGATCATCGGAGTCCAAACCTCTGACCTAACACTAACAATTCCCCACTAAACCATATCCCTAAGCTCGACTCTAAATGTCTTCTAAAGACTTCCAGGGATGGTGACTCCACCACTTCCCTGGGCAGCTGTTCCAGTGACTAACACCCTTTTTTTTTTTTTTTTTTCTATTTAGTTTTTTGAGATGAGCTCTTATGCATATGCTTTCAGTTAGTAGCACAGATATGCGCACAATCATATTCAGGGCATCAATTAGTAGCAACAGATATGCTCACAATCATATTCTCAGGGCAAATCACCTCAAATTTTCAGAAGCAGAATTTGTAAAAAAGCAAAACTGATGAAATGGTAAACAATGACAGAATACACACAAAAATGGAAAGGAGAAAGTACAAGGTGTAGAAGATAACAAATCTGCATCAGAAAGCCCCCCAAGGGTGACCACCAGAGGGTACTGTGCATGCGAAAGTAGGCAGGATAATATAATTAATTGTAAGAAATAATTAACATAAATCCTGCCCTTTATTGGAAATTACATGAATTAATTTAATAATAATAATAATAATTAACTAATGATACATTACATGTATCACTGTACCATAAATAAGTACTCATTGTCTTACTTATGTGTACGTGTTCAGTGGAATTATCCCCCACATACCCAGAGCTGTTAATAAAGAATTATCTGCTTACTATTTCTCCAAAATGAGTCTTGGGAAGTTACATCGCTTTTTGTATTTCTGTGTGTGTGTGTGTGCACGCACGAAGGAGGTGTGAAAATGTCTGTGGGTGTGGGCGAGGTGTGAAAATGGGTGGGTGGGTGGGTGTGCGAGGTGTGAAAATTGGGTGTACGTGTGAGAGAAAATGCCTTGGGGTGTGTGGATTTGTGTGAATTTGCTGCCTCTGTGTGCTGCTTCAGTAGTGTAGCATCACACATCGCCATGAGATTTGTACAGCCCGACCAGTCGGTGACACACGGATGTATATCTGACCGCACGCTGCAATAAAAACTTAAAGAGACTGGCTATTTGTGCACCGTGCAGGCATAACTTCATATTTCTCACCTGAAGTGCTGTAAGTGAAGAGGGCTGGGTGAATTTTGTGGTGAATTGATGCATCTAGAAGGTATTACCTGAGGTATCCCCCCCCCCAGTTTGACAGGATGGCTTTGGGTGGCATGCTTGACTCATAGGACTGAATGGAAAATCACACAGCATCGTCATGGTGTTGAGAAGGCTCCAGGGAGACCTTACAACAGTTTTCCTGTACCTAAAGGGGGCTGTAGAAAAGCTAGGAAGAGACTCCTTATCAAGGGGTGTAGGGATAGGACAAGGAGTAATGGCTTTAAACTTAAAAAGAGGAGATTTAGATTAGATATAAAGAATGAATTCTTTACTTCGAGGGTAGTGAGGCACTGGAAAAGGTTGCCCAGGGAAATTGTGGCTGCCCCATCCCTGGCAGTGCCCAAGGCCAGGCTGGATGGGGCTGGGGGCAGCCTGGGCTGGTGGGAGGTGTTGTGCCCAAAGAGGCTGGGAGTTGGTTTTGTAGAGCCATGCCAACAGACAAGCTCAGCAGGTCTGAAAGCTCTCTTGCTCTTTGACTCATTTCCTAGGCAAGAAGATGAAAGCCTGAAAGGCATGAAATTGAGATAATATCGAGGGGTCAAATTTAGCCTTCTGATATCAAACAGCTGTTTGATATTTCCTTGCTCTGTTCCCTCGGAGAAGGGGCAACGCTGGGTCCCACATCCAGCAACGAGGCTCCATGGCAAACCCTTTTCCCTGTCTTTTGTGGTATTGGCAAAATGACTTCTTGCTGTCTCGCACCAGTCAGAAACCAGATGAGAGGAAATCTGATGAAGATGAAGAAGGCTTTGGGGGGATTTTAGGGAACATACTGCCTTGGTGCTGCACTGGCATTTTGATGACCTGTCTTGTCTGCTCTGCTTATGCTGGAGTAAGATATTTAGTTTTGTGTTTTGTGCTGACATCTGCTGGTTCTTAGCAGAAGGTTATTGTGGGTCTAGTACGAAACTTCCCTGCTTAAAAGGCTTGCACAGCCTCGGAAGTTGTTATTATTATTTATAACTATCTCAGGGGATGATGTCACGGTTAGAACTGGTCTTTAATCTGCAGGTACAGGTAGCTGATTGTATCTCTCCCAGTACCCTTCCCATCCTCTTGTTATTACTAGTTACAATTCATACGTGTGCTTGGTGTCCTAAAATGCAAAGCCACAACAGGATCCGATGCAGTATGTGGTGCTGTGTGACTCAGACACACGAAATCTGGGGAACCCTACAAAGTTGAAGGCCTTGATTTCCTGATTTGAAGAAATTTAAGTTGGAAATAAGTAGCTTCACTGCAATCAGTGTTGCTACATTGGCGTATAGCTGCAAATTTTCCAGAGAGATCAAAATGAATGTTCTGGTCCTAAAATGATGCCAGTGATGTCTACAAATGGTGAGCCACATACTTAAATCCCGACTCATTCCTTATCCAGGGCATTGCTAAGGTGCCTTATGGATTAGGAATGCCTAAATAATCTACTTAACAGAAATAATAGTTCTCCTAGCAGTAATCCCAAGTGAATTGCATTATAGCCAATTGCATGGGATTAACTTTGACCATCCAGGAGCTGAGTTGCAGATGGAGCCCTCTGCCGCGCTGCTGTTGCAGGTCGAACTCGAGGTGGTGAAAAAAATAAAGATGTTTATACGTAACGTGTGCTTTGGATTTCCAAGGACTGCGGTCTTATCGGGAGACTCAGCAGAAAGGACAAGGACATGAGGGCTCCCCTCCTGGCAGCATTTTCCTCTGGCCCATGCTGAGGCACAGCAGCAGGGCAGCAGGGCAGGATCTGGCACCACTCCCTGTGCTGTAGCTGTGCAAACACCACTTGGTCTCACGTCCCAGGGCCATCACAACTGCCATTCTCACAAGCTTGCACACGCTGTGAGAATTAGCATTATGTATGAGCATTATGAGGATCTGGATAGGCTGCACTGATGGGCTGAGGTCAACTGTATGAAGTTCAACAAGGCCAAGTGCCGGGTCCTGCACCTGGGGCGCAATAACCCCAAGCAGAACTACAGGCTGGGAGAGGAATGGTTGGAGAGCTGCCAGGCAGAGAAGGACCTGGGAGTGATGGTGGACAGTCGGCTGAATATGAGCCAGCAGTGTGCTCAGGTGGCCAAGAAGGCCAACGGCATCCTGGCTTGTATCAGAAACACTGTGACCAGCAGGGCTAGGGAGGTGATCGTCCCCCTGTACTCGGCTCTGGTGAGGCCGCACCTCGAGTACTGTGTTCAGTTTTGGGCCCCTCGCTACAAGAAGGACATCGAGGTGCTTGAGCGGGTCCAGAGAAGGGCGACGAAGCTGGTGAGGGGCCTGGAGAGCAAGTCCTATGAGGAGCGGCTGAAGGAGCTGGGCTTGTTCAGCCTAGAGAAGAGGAGGCTCAGGGGTGACCTTATTGCTCTGTATAAGTACATTAAAGGAGGCTGTAGAGAGGTGGGGGTTGGCCTGTTCTCCCATGTGCCTGGTGACAGGACGAGGGGGAATGGGCTAAAGTTACGCCAGGGGAGTTTTAGGTTAGATGTTAGGAAGAATTTCTTTACTGAAAGGGTTGTTAGGCACTGGAACGGGCTGCCCAGGGAGGTGGTGGAGTCACCATCCCTGGAAGTCTTCAAAAGACGTTTAGATGTAGAGCTTAGGGATATGGTTTAGTGGGGACTGTTAGTGTTAGGTTAGAGGTTGGACTCGATGATCTTGAGGTCTCTTCCAACCTAGAAATTCTGTGATTCTGTGATTCTGTATTTTCCCCTTAGATATTAAGGAAGCGACGTTTAGGCTTTGTTGTAAGTAACAAAATCTGTACTGCATGTTATTTTCCTACAGCAGGTCCTCCAGAAAGCTCAAGATAAATGGTTATGTTCTGACAAAAGGCAGACTAATTCTAAAGGTAAAGATAAATTTTGTAAATTTGTGCCTAGAGTTCAAAAAAGTTTTATAGAAAATGCCCTGGGACCCTGTGAGAGGGCAGGAGGTGATGCAGGAGGTATGTGGAGAAGGCAGAGGGGACACATGGGGAACTAGGAGCACAAGCAGAGCTCACTCCAGTGCTGGTCATCTCCCCTTCCCGGTCCCCCTCCTCGCTGAATTGCCAAATTCTTGTTTTGAGGCACAGAAGAGGACGGGTGACAGGCATGGATGGCGTCACAAGGCATGGACTTAGGCTCAGACATACCCTGAGAGCACAGCGAGGACAGAAGCTGCCTCTTCCTTCCCACAGGAGGGACCACTATGCTGCATCTTGGTTGCAAAACCCTTTTTCCAGACAGGGAAGAGAGCCCAATCTTTACAAAAAGGAGCGACTCCACCTGAGCGTGACGTCTTTGCAGGCCCTTCTGCTTGGCAGGAGGGGTTATGCCCACTCCGCTCCTGCATCAAAGACATGCACAGACAAACTTTGTAAGGCAACTGGAAGGAGGCAAACCTTGAGATACGTTCAACCTTCTGGTTATTAACGTGTTACCGTGGTGTTTGTGATTCACCGCCTGAGACCGCATCCACTTGGGGCCTGCGCTCAGACGTCCCACCCTGCCGGGTGAATGCGCCAGGGCCCAGACCGGCCTCGTGTGGGGCCCCCACCCACGCACCCTCCGCCCATTGACCCGGGAGCTGCATTTAAGCTGAGGCCATTCGATTTGGGCCCTGTTTCAGCTCTGCTGGTGGTGCACGGTGTCCTTGGGTTTGTGCTTCGTGACATCCCGGCCCGGCTTTGGACCTGCCTTGCAGCTGCGGATTTATCTGGGATCTGGAGCGCGGCTGTCCCCGGTCAGTGTCTCCAGACCTGTTTTGCTCCTCATTTTTGGGTCCTGTGGGGCCACGCAGCTTGCGGTGAGCTCTCTACCCTTGCCTGCCTTGCTGTCATCTCAGGCTTCTGGCTCACTCTTGTGGTACACCCCTGCTCCTGCTGCTCCCTAATTTCCTCAGGTGTTTTGAAACCTGAGCTGCGAGGCTGCCTTTCAGGCAAATCCTGCACAGGATTTTGCCCACAGGACTTCCCGTGTGGTTCAAGGCTTATCTCCAAACCCTGCAGGACCGCATGGCTGCAGTGGGAGGACACAGCGCCACGGGCTTTCACAGCACCATATCCCCCGACTCCTTCAGTAGGAGTTAGGAAAGAGTGCAAAGATTTGGGCTTAAAAACAGCTCTTTAAATGCAGTGGGTGGAGGCCTTAGATGAGGCTGGTGATGGCACTTGGAGCTTGTCGGTGTACCCTGGGCCCTGACATAATGTTTGGCAGGGATCTCTTGGCAGCATGTAGCTCCATGCAGGATATAGCATGAATAATGAAGCAAGCTGTAATTTTGCCCTAAATTAAGTCCCTCCTTCCTGTTTTCAAAGAGCGAATCTGCAGGAGATGGTGTGGACCGTCTATCAGTTCTTTAAGACATTTTGACGGCCATCAGCTACAGTTTGAATTTGTCTCCCACCAGAATTATCGCAGCGCTAGAAGCAGGAAATTCTCATGGTGGACCCTTAGGATCCTAACATGACTTTTAGGAGAAGCTCGCATTACCTGATTTACTTTGAGGGGAGCGGAGATACCTGCTTATTTCCCAAGGACAGGGGTTAGGTTAAACCTCAAAGACCTGAGGACTCGCAGGAACACACCTCTCCTCCACAGTGTGCCCCCAAGATACGGCCACTGCGGGATGAGTAATTCCCATCTGTCAAAACAGCCAGAAGCTCCTTTTCTTCCCCAAAACACGGGGCCTGCCCTTAGCAGAGACTTAACCTGGAATCGGCTGCTGAGGATCCCCTGCCCCAGCTCCAGAGGGGCAGGGTGGGAGTGGAAGCCGGGGGAAGCTCCCTCGGGGAGGTGTTGATAAATAATTTAAGGAGAATATTATATGGGTGAGGTCTGCAGCAACACCTCCCGCTGAGGATTGTCAGACGTTTCCTTCCTCAGCCCTTCACCTAGATTTTCGGAGTGGAAGGTGTGGTTCCTGGGAGGGGATGCCCGAGGCTGATTACGGAGGAGCTGAACTGTCTCCGTTCTCTTCCATATTAGCTCCCAGGAGCCCTATCCGCAAATATTGGAGTAGGTTCAATGCCTGGCTCTTCCTCAGTCACATTTGTAATGGGACAAAGGAAAAGTGCATCCAACAGCCCTACGGCTCGACCTGTCATTCTGGGACGACCGCAGCTGGGTGTTCCTGTGAGCAAAGGCAAGAGAAGAAGCTCTCGAAGCTCACCGTTACTCCTTTAGTGTGGAAAGCGACAGCTCAGATACCTGGGCACCTGTGTGGAAGGGAAATGAGATGAAGGCCTTCCCCAAAACATGAGGCATAGGCAGCATCCAGCACGAGAACAAAGGGACACGCAGAGCTATCGGATCAGGAAAAAGCACTGCAGGTGTTGTAGAGCTACATGGACCCAGCAGTGGCTGTTCCAGGACTTCTTTAAACCCATGTCACCTTCTTCTGGGAAGAATTATTCCTTGGAAGAGGTGTCTAGCAAGGTTGTCCAAGGTTGAGCTCCTGCGTTCCTGTTCACCCATGGCTTTGCTTCTGCTCCTGTTGTACAATTGTCTTCACGTGAAGCTTGCTGCATCTTTAATTTGCTTGAAGTACTGGCAAGGCTGCCTGGATTTATATGATACCACCCCAAAGACTGGGGGATACTAATAATTTCAATAAAGATATATTTAAACCATCTGGAGTACACCTAGAAATGTGTAACTTATACATAAGAGAAAATTTATAGCATTGTCTGGGCCCAGTCTATCAGAGACAACTTGTTGTATAGCAAGCAGAATCTGGAGCTCATCCTTCAAAATAATTGCTCAATTTCTGTATTTTTGCTTGAGTGAGAGCTTTCTGCTAGCTGACTTTTTGGATCAAGGAGTAGGCTACTAGAAGCCTATTACAGGAGGAAAAAAACACGAGCAAGAATCTAATGGTAGAGCTCCATCCCAGTGAGAGCTGGAATAACATTCGGTTTGACTCCATTCCCCTCTACCTAGCAGAAAAATGTTTACCATTTTTACATGTTTACAGTGTTTGCTCACATTTTGTGGGCAAAGCTTTGAAAACAATTCTTGTTACAGGTTTACATGGAAATTCAGGAATTTCCAGATAAGTGAAAAATATTTTTGGAGGTGAAATCGGCCTTCAAGCTGCTGGTTACCTTGAAATGCTGATACATGTGAGAATGTAGTCACATGGAATTCAGATGTGTTTTGTCTGAAGAAGGGATTCTTAACAAGTCCTCTATAAATTCACCTTTGCCAGATTGAGTCTTTCTTCATATCAAACATGAAGCTGATTTTGATCTTCAGTGCCCTCTTTGGGGCTGCCTTATGCCTGGAAACTTTTGTTGGGTGAGTCACGCTTTTGTGTACGACCTTTCACTTCGAGACCTTCAAGACTGCATTTTCCAGTAGTTCCTTTCCATTACCTTAACTTTAAAAAATCTGCTTGGGGCACATTCTTTGCTTTTTGTGACTGCCTTCTCTCATGGCTTTGGTTCCCCAGTGCTTGAAGGAATCTTTAGTTTCATCTGGGATGTCCAAAGAGAAGGGTGTAGCTGCAGACTTGAGCTCCTGTATTCACCCAAGGCTTTGTTTCAGCTTCGGTGCTAGGTAGGGAGTGGTCTCAAGCCTCGATCCCGAGCTTAACACACTGCGAAGCTTGAGAGCTTGACAGATCTGGTCCAGCACAGACCACAGCCAGAAAATCAGAACTTGCCTTCAGATCTGACAGGTCAATGGCTTCCCATTGTGTTTGCGAAGATTCGTATTTCTCTTTAAATGTTTAATCCTCTTCAGAGCCTTTCTAATTGACCTGACTCTATATTTCCAGCCATTACATCCTAAAGGTTTACATGTATGTTTCATAGCAAAACAGTCTCCTTCTGGGGTATTTCCTCACAGCCTTACTGACCGTGGAAGAACCTTAATCGAAAATAATAAAAAACCCTAATGAACACTAGATTCCAGTGAGCAAACAGTATATTAAAATGTAAGGATTAAGAATAAGTAAAATAGTATACTTAATTTACTAAAATTCTGGCATTTGTTAAGACCAGAATAAACTATTTTTAGTCTTTTAATCTGGTCTCTGGCATATTGTAGACTGGATTGAGGTTCTCATGAATTAATTCCTCAATCACCTTCAGTAGCTGTGGTTAATGAACCTCATCTCCTCTTCAGAGAAGAACCCAATCCAAAATAAGGCTTATGACTGTGGAAAATCCAATAATAAGTTAATGTGGTAAAGTACCTTCAGTGTTGGTTTAAGTTGGGCCAACAAAATAATTATTCACCGTGGCTCTCAGGTTTCCTTCAGAATCCCCACTGGCTCTCCAGAGTAGGATCTATTATCCCACAAACATCGTGTACACTTGTTCGTAGATCCTTTTGCTATTTCATAAAAGCATTGGTTGGAAGGGACCTCCAGAGGTCTTAAGTCCCCTTTCCTGCTCAGAGCAGGGCGTGCAGATGTTGCCCCTTGATACCATCATTTCATTGTTCACAAACTCTCTTTTTTTTTTTTTTTCCAAGTCCTTGACTAAGAATAATAGGTGCAGAGTTAATCCTTGTAACCAATTAAAAACTCATTCACTTGATGTCTTGTTTATGATGAAATCTTAAAGATTGCCATTTAACTAGTTACTAATCTAGTGCACGGATACCAGGCTGGCTCTGCAGGTTGTTGATTAAATTCTTGGGTAGCACGAAGTCAACTTCATTAAATGAGTCCATATCAGCTGATATCACGCAAGTAACTACTCACCAAATTCATAACCTCAATAGCCAGCTAGCTCTTTTATTGCAGGCACCAGGTCCTCCGAATCAAGATCAAAAATGAGGAACAAGTTAGGAATTTACAGTTTTTGGAAACGCTGGAACACCTGAAGGTACGTTATTATCACAGAGGCATTTTTTAACATTTCAGATTGGGGTAGGACTTATCCTGGTAGGACTTTGCATCGAATTTGGAAGGATCATACCATAATATAGCAGCTGCCGTATATAGACATGCTCAATATTTAGTTTTTGATCTACAAGTTAATTTTCTTCCCACTGGGTTGACAGTCGTATTTGAGCTGGTCTGCTCTTAATCTTAGGATCAAAAATGTTGTTGTTAAAATGGGAATGCTAATACTTTTGTACCTGTCTCCCAGAACAATGGGAAGAATTTTAATAAATTAGTCTCACCTCTATTGAAACAGGAAAATGTTAGGAAGTTCTATGCTATTACTGTTGTTATTGTCATTGGTGAAAATTTTTATTATCATTTTTAAAAATACTGTTAATGTTAAAATTTTTATTATCACTTTTAAAAATACTGTTTTGAATGGTATAGAAACTAAAATTTAGAAAAGCTCTACCAAAGGAGAAGTAAAAGCAATGGGTTTTATATTATCATATAATGTAATATGGAGCTTTTCTTGAAACTACTACATGTAAAAAGAAGAATAGTAAGATAACCACTATAGAAGACTGAAATTTTCTCTTGCATCCATTACCGGAGCTCTGAAGTCAGTGAAAGTGCTGCCTCTAACCTTCTGCTGGATCCTTATTTTTTGTGTGTGTGAGAATTTGTCATGGTACCTGATACAGGGTTGAGGTGAGGGAGCTACAGGATGGAATGTGCTGTATGATTGATGGGGAACAACACTGCAGAATTTGTTCAATTTGGGAGGAATTGGTGTTTCTATAGCTTTAGGAAAGCTGTTTGCAAAGCATGCTTTCCCCCAAACCAAATCATGTTTTCCTTTTTCTTTTCAGCTTGATTTCTGGATAAATCCCTCCACCTTCTCCCGTCCTGTGGATGTGCGAGTGCCCGCTAACAGCCTCCAAGCAGTCAAAGTCTTCCTGGAGTCCCACAGGATTGAGTACTCAATCCTGATCGAAGACCTGCAGGTAGGTGATGCCACTGGCCCATGATTAGTTTTCAAATACAGTGGAAATAAATAATGGTTCACAGTCCAGCCTCCTTCATTAATTCACGGATTCTTCCATAGTCTGCCTTCTGTGAGGTCCTCCCCTTATTTTTATAGACTTTATAGTCCTCCTCTTATTTTTATAGACTGTGTTTTCTATGTTTTTTATAGATTGTCACTAATTTTCCAAAGGCAAGCTCATTGCTGCACTGAGAAACTGTGGAGATCACTTTGCAGATGCTATCCGAACCCATGTTCAGACCCGAGACCACAATTCCGTGTGGTCTTTTGGCCCCAAAAGTTTGGGAATCCCTACTCTAAGATACTTGTAACTCAGTAAACTGTTACGAGTGGCTCTGCATCATAAGTCATGAGAACTGTACACCACCATGTGAGAGAAAAATCACCTCTGTGGGCCCTAATCCAACATTTCTTCTTAAGCAGTAATGCCACGAGAGCATCTAAAATAGCAGAAACGCTGCCCCTTTTTCCAGCTTTCCAACACTATTCTTGTCCACCTTAATTTGTCAAAAACTTCATGCTGACCATTTAAACAGCAGTATTCTTGCCACTTCACTACAGATAAATTCTCCAGAAGCATGTTTGCTCCACAGCTGTGCGAAGTTTGGGACTGTGGCTGGAGCCAGTATGCAGAGCCACCGTTTCATTATCTTATAAACATTTGGTCAGGAGCTTATAAGTGAAGCAGGCTTTCCTCAAAATTTGAATTATTTCTTTTAGGCCGTTCTCGACAGAGAAAAGCAAGAAATGGTCGCCAGTCAACAGATGGAGCGCAGCAGCACTTTCAACTATGGAATTTACCATTCTTTAAGCTCTGTGAGTTCCTTAGAACTAGCTTTTGGGGAAAAGGATTCTTTTTTCTGGCTTTTTTTTTTTCATATCATCTTCAATCAAACATAGAATCATAGAATAGCTTGGGTTGGAAGGGATCTTAAAGATCATCCAGTTCCAACCTCCCTGCCATGGGCAGGGACTCCTCTCATTAGACCAGGTTGCTAAAACCCCGCTCCAACCTGGCCTTAAACACTTCTTCTGGTAAAAGTTTTGTTTTTAAATATATTAATTTCATGGTCAGAGTGTTGGAACAGGCAAGTGCTGGTCATACTTTTTGATGAACTCCCACAGAGTTCTCTCAAAACCCGTCAGTTCTGACCCTCAAAAGAAATTGGGAAATAAATGAATTTAGGAAAATACAGGAAGCCAATAGCCATCAAGCAAAGTGGAGGAAAAGGTATTTGCTTTACCAGAAGTTCTTAGAGAGGGTTCTGAACTTATTCCTGAGATAAATGAATCTTGATATGGCAGCGTTTCCCTCTGCATCTGTGACATTAGGAACAGCACCAACTGCACTGACGTAAGGTGAGGTGGGGCTTTGGTGACGCCATGGTAATGAAGACAAAGGGAGATAAAAATGGATTTCAACAGATCCTATGGTTGGTCTGGGCAGCACATGTATACAAATGGAATGTAAATATTATCGTGGCTTTTCATTCCAGATTTATGAGGAACTGGATAATCTCGCATCTGAGTACAGCAACATCGTCAGTAAGCTCCAGATTGGGCAATCCTATGAAAAGCGGCCTTTGTATGTGCTCAAGGTATGGTCACACAGCATATCTTGGACTCTGAGTGTACACGTGTATGGATATACAGCACAACTCAGTCCAAAGCATCCTTGTGTTGGGGTTTAAGCTGGCAGGCAGCTCAGCACCACGCAGCCATTTGCTCACCCTCCCCCAGTGGGATGGGGAAGAGAATTCAGGAGAAAAAAAATAATAAAAGCTCATGGGTTGAGATAAAGACAGTTTAATAGGACAGAAAATGAAGGAAAATAATAATGATAATGATAATAATAATCATAGAATGTACAAAGCAAGTGATGCACGATGCTCACAACTCACTGTCTATATGGGATGTTTTGTGTTATCAGCATTATTCTCATCCTAAATCCAAAGCACAGCACCCTAACAGCTACTAGAGGAAAATTAACTCCATCCCAACTGAAACCAGAACACCCTGTCTATATGGGATGTTTTTGACTAAGAGGGGTCAGTGAGGGTATTAAAGCTTTTTCCTTTGTTTTTCAGTTCAGCACTGGAGGAAGCAACCGTCCTGCAATCTGGCTCGATGCCGGCATCCATTCCCGAGAGTGGGTTACCCAAGCTAGCGCGATGTGGATCGCTAAAAAGGTCACTTTGGCAGCACCTGATTTTCTTTTGCCTTGGGAATGCCTCCAGTTAAAAACATACTGCACCTGCACGTGTTCAGCCTGCTCTGAGAACTCTCCATCACCCCTCTTAAAACACAGTTGACTCCAGACACAGTATGGCAACTATTTAGACAAAGAATTGAAAAAAAAATTGAAAAGAATTGAAATTAAAAAAAAAGGCAGACAAAATGTCCAGGTGAAAGTGTTGAGGATTCCAGGGCTGATAGCTCTGGGAATGACCAAGGACTCGGAGAAGGTCAGTGTGCTATTTCAGTCTGCACACGCAGAGGAACACTGTGTGGTTGGCTGCTTTCCACAAAGGTGCCAAACATTCCAGTTCTCGCTAAATGAGCATTTATTTCTCTTGAAAATGACCTAGCCACGAGGGGAGAGCAGCACAGCTGTACGTTCCCAACCTGGCTAATCTGCCTCAGTCCTAGTGCTTGTGTTGCCTTGGCCCGTGTTCAGAGACAGGCAGAGGAAAATGTTGTCGCCCTCTTCCATTAAATTCCTATTTTTGGAACAAAATAGTGAAATAGATTCATTGCTCTTTCCAATCTCCAAGTCTAATGAGGAACAGTTAGTTGCCAGTAGATAATTAGTGTGTCTTGTTTGCCTGCTCTGAAAGCCAGCGTTGCCTCTGCACGTAGTTTTTAGAGCACAAATGAGTGGGAAAGAAATATGCTGATAATCACGGTGTGCCTTATTGCCTCTGCATAGCTTGCTTCTGACTACGGGAACGATCCATCCATCACCTCTCTGCTGGACAAAATGGACGTTTTCCTGCTGCCAGTTACAAACCCTGATGGCTACGAGTTCACTCACACCACAGTGAGTAAACACATTGCGCCTCTAAGCCGGTTGAGAAAGCTGTCATGCTCTCCCAAGCCAACGACTGCAAGAGAAATAGGCTCTGAAAGTCCTTTTGCTGATGTTGTAATATATAAAACTCTGTTATAATAGAGTTGGGAAGCCAAAGATACCAATTACTTGTTTAACCCATCTTTCTCCTTCACTGCAAATTCACCAGTCCTTCAGTTGTGTCCATTGGCCCATTTTGGCTGTCAGCCCATCAGAAATGTTCTTAGGCTTGTGCCTAGGATCAATTTTCACTGAACAGCAACTATTTCTGGGTAACAGCATTAATGCAAGGATGAAGATTTGCTCCATAGTGTGTGTTTTTTTTCAGAATCGCATGTGGCGGAAGACCCGCTCCAAGCATGCAGGCAGTCTGTGTATTGGAGTTGATCCAAACAGGAACTGGGATGCAGGTTTTGGAGGTAGGAATAAAGTTTCTAGATTCTGGCTGGAAGAAGAAAGTTCCTTCCCTGCTCCTGGATCCCAGCGATCTCCTTAACATAAGGGATTCAGAAAGAAAATGGTCAAATAGAATGGTTGCTGTCTTTTGTGAAGATTTAATTAATTGGCAACAAGCAAAAGATGAAGGAATCTGTATCTTCCAGAATTTGTGTCCCTTGAACATTCATGCTCTGTTGTTGCTGTTCCAGCATTTATCACACTTTGTGTTGGTCTGCTTTGACCTTTCACGAATCCTTACAGATCTCTCTGTGTTCCCCCTTTGTACCAACAGGTCCTGGAGCCAGCAGCAATCCCTGTTCCGACTCTTACCGTGGGCCCAGTGCCAACTCAGAGGTGGAAGTTAAATCTGTTGTAGATTTTATTAAGAACCATGGAAACGTCGTGGCCTTCCTCACCCTGCACAGTTACTCGCAGCTCCTGATGTACCCCTATGGTTATAAATGCACACAGCCAGCAGACTACGCTGAGCTGGTAAGAAACAATGACTTGGTTTTACCTTCCTCTGCTCTGTCCAGCTGGCTTTCCATACTGAAGTATTATAGCGAGCTATCAGGATAAAAACAAGGGGCTAAACTCTGCCATCCACAACAGTAACCACTCATGAGAGCAAGCAAAGACCTCGTGCAGTGCAAAGCCTTTAAAAGAGAAGTCTTGGTCACACACAAACGTGTGCCATCCCCACCCGTTCTTGGCATTCTTGGATCATCCAGAAATCCTTCTTTCTGCTTTAACAACAGCATCACGTCTTTAATAATATCTTTGAGGGAATATAATTTCACTGTCTTAATTTAATTTAAGACCTCGGAGGTCTCTGGTCTGACCCTCTGCTCAGAGCAGGTGGGTTTTGGTGTCAGAACCAGTTTCGAGATCAGATCAGGCTGCCTAAGGCTTTGCCCAGCTGAGCTTTGACTGCTTCCAAGGACAGATTCCACAGGTTCTTGGAGCCTGTTCCAAATTTTTCCCATTGTCATGGGGATTTTCTTTTCCCCTAATACCTAAATGCCATTTCCCTTGTGGCAGTTTGGTATTGCTCCTTGTCCTTTTGCTCTAAACCTCCAAGATAGAGCCTGGCTCTATTTCCTCTACAACTACCCCTGCAGTGAGCACAAAGCTGGCATTGGAAGGTCTCCGACTGCCTTGGCATTTTTGGTGTATTTTGAACCTTCTCTTGACAAAGGCAGTAGGTAAGATGAAACACTGGCTGATCAGATGTGGAACCTGCTGTGATTTAATTTACCCCAAAATACTGGGAAAGCTGTGAGTGCTGTCACTGGTGTGAGTAATTAAGGAATTGATTGATTTGGCATAACTTGCTTTTATGGGGAGTGAAAGCAGGCTGTAAACTAGTTTGGTGTTTTCCCTGAGCAATGTTCAGGCTGGTGAAATCTTAACATTTAGTCTCATTAAGTGTGGCTGCTTTCTGACTTGTCCTTTCTCCTCGCCTCTGCAGGATGCCCTGGGCAAAGCTGCTGCCAACGCCATCCAGTCCCTCCACGGCACCACCTTTACAGTGGGGAGCATTTGCACTACTATCTGTGAGTATTTTTGCTGTTCTGAGCATCTCCGGGCTGTCCCAGGGCAGCAGCCTCTGGATACCCCCCTCAAGGTCTCTCCCTTTTGGGAGGAGGGATGCTTCTGTAGGGTGACCCCATCAGACTTTGAGTTTTCGCAGGAAAACCAAATCCTTGCCCTCACAAATATAACAAGGATGGCAGCAGAGCTCAGATCAATCCTCCATTCACCCTCTGTGCCTTTTCTCATTTTTTCAGACCAAGCCAGTGGAGGCAGCATAGACTGGAGCTACGATTATGGCATTAAATACTCCTTCGCTTTTGAGCTGCGAGACACCGGGCGCTACGGCTTCCTCCTGCCGGCCAGCCAAATTATCCCCACGGCGGAGGAGACGTGGCTGGGCCTGAAAACCATCATCGAGCACGTGCGAGACAACGCACACTAAAAGCAGGGCTGGGAGTCAGATTTTTGGAACAGCAAGCTCAGAAATGCTCTGAATAAAAACCCGTGTGCATTCCTCCAGGCGCTTCGTGTTTGTCTTGTGCATGGTAGAGCCTTACAATGTGTCACAGGTTTTAGGATTGGGTCAAAAAACACTCTTGGAAAGGAGAAATCCATCCCCTGGCCTGTGACTGCAGCAAATTATCCTGCCTTGTGCCCCTTTGGGTGCCCTCTGCAGTTAGTCAATGGAAAATGTTGCTTGCAGCAGGCAACAACAGCCCTTGGCAGCGTTTTGTACCCCGGCAAACCTCCTCGCCCATGCAGTAGCCCCCTTCTCACAGCCAGCCCTGGCACCAGCACTGAAACCACCTCCCAAAGGTGATGGTGCAGGGTCTAAAATGTTTCAGAAATTTGTGGCTGTCCCTTGAGAGCAGCGTGAGCTCTTCAGAGCTGCCAAAAATAAACTCCACCATGCAGAATTTCTTCTGTCCCCGTTCTCCCTCCCCGGTGGGCACAGTCAGCGGGAGGACCAGGGCAGGAGGACGCCTGCTCTCACCCTACAGGGCCAGTCCCCTGTCCCTTGAGCGCCTGCCTGCCTCGTTTCCCTGCTCAGCCTGCTCATTTCGTGGGGATTAAGGGCACACAACCCTGTATGGGAGCCACGAGAGGACCGGAGGAGATTAGCAATCCCTGCTCGGGGTGCAGCAGGCACCGAGTTGAACAGGTTTATCTCAACATCTCCTAATCCCCCAGCAGCTGGCGAGTTACTCACCGCTCCGGGAGCCGTGGCAGGAGAGCAAACACACGGGTAAAACATTCGTGCAGCCTTTTTGGCAGGGAGAAGGAGGCGGAGGTGCAGTTGAGGCCCACGTGGGCCCATCTTTGGGTTCGACGTGGCCCTTTGGGAAGGCCAAGCTGGGCACGGGGCAGGCAGCACTCCCTGCACCCGGTTTTCCCACTGACCTCACCCTGCCAAAAACCAGCTGGTGAGAAAGGTAAAACCCCGCTGGCGGGCAGGACTCGGGGCACACAGCTCCAGGATCCGGCCCATCTGCTGCTGCTGCTACTGCTGGAGCTGGGCCCCTGCGTTGGGTGCTGGGGGAGGTCGGAGAGCTGCAAAAACCCCATCCCAACACCCGTGTCTCGAGGCCACCCGGCTCCTCGTCTCGTAAACGTGTGGCCTGATGGCAGCGGCGTCCAGTTTGGGGATCCTCGGGACCAACAAGACCCAGAGCAAGGCCGGCGGAGGCCTCACAGCGACCCTCCCGCCCCCCGTGAGGAGATTATTGGGAACGTGGAGCCGGGATTTCCACCACAACGTGGCGGTGAGGCAACGGCATCAGCTCCAACAGGAGAAAAAGGTTTTCTACCAGGACAGTGCAGCAGTGCCCAGAGGGGCTTTGTGGTCCCCATCCTTGGAGGCCTCCAAGACCCAACGTGGAAGGAGCTGGGCCGATCCCAAGATGAGTTTCCGTGGGCCAGGAGGTCGCTTATGGACCTCAGACCTCCTCAGGTCCCGTCCCACCTCGCCTAAATGAAGACCTCAGTGCTGGGACCTCCTCACCAACCTCATCTCCAGTGCGTGTAGGGTTTTCCTGGCCAGGAACCCCACGGTTGTGCATTAAGGAACCCTAAAGGACCCCTGAGCTTGGCGCCTTCCCCTTTTTACACCCAAATGGGGTGCACGTGTCCTCTCCAGACACCTACGCCACCACCCGAGCCCCGAGGAAGATTTTATCAGCTCCTCCCCAGCTTGGCTGCTCTTTTGTTGACTCCTCCAAATAAAACAAACGTGTGGGCTCACGGAAGCCGTCCTTGGCTTATTTGTTCACAGCTACCAGCCCCATGGAGGTGGCCTTGGTGGGGAGGTCCATGAATGTCCCCGGGGGACTATATAGGGCCCTGTCAACGCCCTTTGGGGCTGAGGCTCGTCCGTATCCACTCACCATGAAGGTCCTCCTGGTCTTCTTCGCCGCCCTCGTGGTGGGCGCCCTCGGCGAGCAGCTTTTTGTGGGGTGAGTCCTGCTGAAAGCAGGGATGGGGGGGACGGATCCTGCTTGCCTGCGCCCTCCTGCATGAGAAAAAAAGAAAAAAAAAGCCCCGTGAGGTATTTCTTTCGCTGAAAGGAAGGCTTGAGACCACCTCGGGCTCTCCAACGCTTCCTTTTTTTCCCCTGCCAGCCGTTCTGAATGTGCATTTCCCCCTCTCCACCCCAAACCTCTAATAACCAACACGATTTCTGCTGCTGCAGACCCATTAGAGCCACCTCGAGCTTCCACCCAGCCCGTGTTTGGTGGCTCGGGGCTGGGCTCTGCTGCTCACACTGCGTCCCCTTATGCTCCTTCGTGTCCCCCTGTGCTTCTCCATGTCCCCTCGTACCTGCTGATGGCTCTGGCTCCCCGCAGGGACCAAGTTCTCCGCATTACGGCCAGCAACGAGAAGCAAATCGCCCTGCTCAGGGCGCTGGGCGAGCGGGAGGACCTGCAGGTGAGCCACGCCGGTGCCCCACGAGCCAGCCCCGAGCTGTAGTATCGGGGTTTTGGGTTGGTTTCTTGGTTTTTGGTTGAGTTATGAACTGCCCGTGCGCCCGCTGTGTTTGCCGTGGTCGCTTTGGGGAAGTGAATCCTGGCAGAAAATTGGGATGGGGAGCAGGATCTGCACCCCCAGCCTGATTCCTGGAGTTACCTTTCTGGAATTAAAGGTCCCCAAGCCCTCCTGATCCCAAAACCTGCCCAAAGACCTTCCCAGATCCTTCAGGGCAGCAGCAATGCCTCTTCTTGTCCCCATCAGCTTGACTTCTGGCGCGACCCCACCAAGCCCGGGCACCCGTCCGACCTGCGCGTGCCCTTCCCCAGCCTGCAAGCGGTCAAAATCTTCCTGGAGTCCCATGGAATTTCCTACAGCATCATGATCAAGGACGTGCAGGTGAGGGCAGAGTTGCAAAACCCACCGGTTTCATGCTGAAGGCTCGTGGTCTTCCTCTTAGTTTTTTTTTTTCTTGTCCTTCCCCTTTGTGCTCCCTTGGCACCGTCTCAAGTTTATAGAACATCCCTGCAGGTCTCGTCTCCCAGCCGTCCTTCAGCTTCTTTTTTCTTCTCCTTAAATCTCCTGGCCACCTGGCCAGGTATCAGGGGCTTGCATAGTGTCCCATAACAGTCGCTCGTTGTTAGCAGTTATTCTGAAACCCCCAGACATCAGAGACTTCAAAGAAAGAACAGACAAACACAAAATTGCACGCTCTTCTCCAACCGTGCTATCTGCGCGCACAAAATGCCCTGAGCCAACCCCCAGAACCTCCCAGCCCCCTTTATGGCTTTATTTCCCATAACAGCAACTGCTGGACGAGGAAAGAAAATCATGCTGCTGTCCAAGGAGAAGGAAAGAAGCGCCAGCACCTTCGATTTCGCGTCCTACCACACTCTGGATGAGGTACTTTGCTCTGCAGAGCATTCCCTTCACCTCCCCGGGGCCGTGCCGTGGTTGTGTGCACGGGGTGACATCGGTGGTGGTGGCAATGAGACCCTTGGGACCCTTCTGCTCTCCTTGGGGGGAGAGTTTTGTAGAGCCTGGAGAGCAGGAATCCCTCCTCGTGCATAAATGTACGGCTTGGGCTCTCCCAGCACCTCCCTGCCTTGCTGGGAGATGTCTTCGACTTCATTTTGGGGTCAAACCCTGTCCTCGGAGCCTGGTGGGTTGTTGGTGGAGGCTGTGATGGTGTTGGGGGATCTCAAAGATTTTTTTCCCAACCATTCACCTGGTGGTCCACCAACCTCCCTGCTCGCACAAAGGGTTTATATCCAGTCCTGAGCACTTTTAGGGTGCCAGACACCCTAAAAACTAAAAAGAAAAAGCCGGGTGAGTGGCATGACCCAGCAACTCCTCCTTCCAGATCTACAACTGGCTGGACACCCTGGTGGCCAATCACCCCGGCCTCGTTAGCAAGATCCAGATCGGGGAGAGCTACGAGAAGAGACCCCTGTACGTGCTGAAGGTGGGTTTGGGGCCAACCTCACCTCATCCTCGTCCTTCCTGGGTGTCCCCAAGCACCCACCCTGAGCCCTGGCATGGTGGTGGGGGGTGTCCTCCTTGGGGAGCTTCAGAAGCCACCTGGAAATGGTGCTGGGCACCCTGCTGGTGGCTTCCAGAGGTGGCCCCAACCTCTGCCAGCCTGAAACCGGGGGGGTTTTGGGGTCAAATCCTGCTTTCTCCTCACAGTTCAGCACCGGGGGGTCGAACCGGCCGGCCATCTGGCTGGACACCGGCATCCACTCGCGCGAGTGGGTCACCCAGGCCACCGGCGTGTGGACGGCCAACAAGGTAACCCCACGATGGGGACGTTGACGTTTAGGTTTGGGATTTCCATGGGTTCAGCCCAGCTGCAGGTTGGGGGGTGGCTGTGAAGGGAGGGGAACGACCCAAAGGTCTCCGGGATGGGACAGGAGATGTTGGAGATGGTGTCCCCCATCCCTGGGCCCACACGTGGTGAAGATCTGGGTGAAGGAGGGGCAGAAATTGCAAACCAAAGCCACTTCTTGGGTGCTGTGGTTGGACCCAATGGGGAAAAAAACCCTGCAGCATCTCCAGTTCCCCCTCTCCCTACCTGAGCCCTCTTTTAACACCTTCCCTGGTGCTGCTCGGTCGCGTCCCTCATCCCTGGGGGGTCCCGAGGCAGCTCCTGCCCCTTCCCCTTGCAGCTCGCCGAGGAGTACGGCCGGGATCCCTCCATCACCGCCATCCTGGACAACATGGACATCTTCTTCGAGATCGTCACCAACCCCGACGGCTACGCCTTCACCCACAGCTCCGTGAGTGTGGGGACACCGTGAGCTGGGGACTTGTCCCTTGTCACCCGAGGTGGCATCAGGGCAGGGATTCACCTCCCTGCGGTCTCGTCCGTCTGCTCCTAGAACCGCATGTGGCGAAAGACGAGGTCCATCAACGCCGGCTCCTCCTGCATCGGCGTGGACCCCAACCGAAATTGGGACGCGGGCTTCGGAGGTGAGGCACGGGAGGTGTGCGGAGAGCCCCCACACATCCAAATGTTGGATCCTCCTGCACGAGGGGAGGAATCCAGGGGTAAA